CAAAAAGAATAACAAGGATGCAAATGTTTATTACATAGTATGTAAACTTCCACCCTCTCTCTCTCTCTGCCTAGCTTGCATCCCACATGGTGGTGGGGTCAGCTTTCCCAATCCGTTTCTTCCACTTCTCTCTGTCCATGACATCTTATTCTGAGACTTGGCACTAAACTATTTCTATTAATCCACTATTTAGTTCCACTAAATGTAAATTAGGTAACCCATAGATTTCTCTACTGTGCTTTATAATGATTATCCTACTGCTCAATGAAAGATTAGAAATTAACAATAACTACTCAAACAGTAACTCACTCTGAATCCTCAGGGTTGCCACAAAAAAGTTTAATAAATTATTTACACTTAAAAACCTTTCGATCACAAAAAAAATCTCAAAATCGGATCACCAGGGGCGGAGCTACGCGGTAACACACAAAAAAACATACAGACGAATTGATAACCTCCTTCTTTTTGAAGTCATGACAACTATAATAATTAATTAAGATTTTCCAATACTAAAATCTCTCTAAACCATTTCCTCTATTATGAGAAAAACTGTATAACAAATATTTCATTATTTGTCGAGTCTTCAGTTTTAACTTGCCATGTACAAGAAGACTTTTTATATCATTTTACATTACTTAGGTCATCAACCTCGTCGATAGTCTTTGATATTTTAAAAGCGTAAGCAAACATCTGAGATTGAGTTTCACCGTACAAAATAGCCGTTACATTTTTATCGCTATGTTGATTAGCCACCAATATATTTTCAGAATGTTTGTTCGTTGTTCATTGGCTGACTTTAATTTTTTTTTTTTATATCATAAGGTGGCAAACGAGCGAGCGGCCATCTGAAATCGCTGAAATAGCGAAGTGACCGTTGCCCACGGAGGAGAGGATGCACAGAAAGAAAATGTTTTCCCTTTCCATGCATCCTCTCCTCCGGAAAATCCATTTCCACTTCCCATCCTTTCCTTATAAGAAAAAGGATGGGAAGGGAAAGAGGACTAAATTAGGCTTCCGGGTAGCACACTCATCAGACGAAACGCGAAATTGCTTCCACTTCACGCCTGTTTTCTGTGTGGTCGTGGTATTTCACTGGGCGAGCCGGGACAATTCGTGCGAAGATGTTAAAATTGTATTGTAATAAAGTTAAATAAATACTACACAACATGACAACACCAACATCCTGCCCGTCACCCAGATGGGTAAGCAGACTTCCATTTGGCACAGTCCTGACACACCTCTCTCACTTCTACATTCTTACATCCATAGAAGAATTTAAGTCGAAAACTGAATTTACAACACCTAAATATTTATGCTCTTGTTTTAACCTTTAATTTAAAATTGATACAACAAACGTTAACTTTTCATCGAAGGATGCAATTTATTAAAAATACTTGTAAGGCTGATGGATTTTGATAATTTTAGATTCAAAAATGAAAATACAACTCACATTGGTTAATTTGACACAATTGACTCAGAGTATGAGAAGCACTTAGTTACCATCAGATGACTCTTACCGCTGTTTTCCGAGTACAAAATCTCAGTATAAAACATGTCATCCCTGTCATTATCTTTGACAAAACATGTATAAAAAAATTTTTAAACGTTAATTTTGGTCTTAGAAACCCACAGTTAGTGTGGCAATGATATAAAAAAGACGGAAATATACGTAAAATACACTCGACTAATTCAAATGCAATTTGATCGTAGGAAGCAAGTGACCACGCCTTACATCCAGTTATTCAGCCAATGTTGGTCATTTTATGGCTTCCATTTACTTCGACAAGGTGCTATCTCTCCAGCTGTGACGTCACCGGGACTTTATTCCTTTTTTATTAGCACATAAACGCCTACCAGGTGTTATGGCTTCATAATAAACAATCTATTGTTGTTATAACGCGTCGTTTTACTACGACAAAGCGGCTAATTTATAGCGTTTAACAATAGCTTATGCCATGTCTTATTATGCGCCATTTTAGATCTCACCGTATTAATATACATTTTATTATGTAATAAGAAATTATTAATAATATTCAATTTTATCCCAACTGTATTTTTTTTCCGTTCGTACGCAAAGTACAAAACTTTTGTTTTTTCTAAAAATTATTTATTAAAATATTACACTTAAAGACTTTTATAGCAAATAAAATTAGACATTAAAAGAAAACTTTACAATTATACTAACGTGAAAGAATGCAAGGCAACAAGTTAAGTGTACGCTTAGTTTATTGAGGTCAACATAACAAGGCAACAAGTGTTGTCAAGCAATAACACGACTAAGTCAGTGAGCATAGGATTAACCTACTTATTGAAATGGCATTAGCATCAAGAATAGTGTGCACTTTTACTTCTTATATTGAACACATAAACACACAAGCAGTTGCCCGCGACTGAACACATGTATGTATGAACACATTAGCTGTTGCCCGAGACTGAACACATATATGAATACACTAGCATTTGCCCGCGACTGAACGCATGTATAAGCACAGTCGAAGTTGCTCGCGACTGTAAAAAATTTAAACGCACACTAGCTGTTGCCCGAGACTGAACACATTTGATTTGGAGTATGTTAGGAGTTTTCTGAAGCGAATTTATACCAAACAAGTTTGTGTCATATTTACCACCCGTATGTATAGAGAGCACCCTAAACCTTCGAGAATGTATTAGTAGATTGTATATATATATTCCTATATATTTAAATCATGATTTTGAATATATATGTATTTATTTATTTTGCGTTTTGCTATGTAAGTATACCTATGTATTCTTGAAGTAAATAACAGCTATTTTAAAACAGCTAATAAGCAATTTAGAGAACAAAGTTCTAAATCAGTTTACATGTATTTTAACGCCGCACAATAAGTCATTGCCAATTTCTGAAACTTAAAATAGCTCGTGAACGTGCTAAGTCATAATAATCATAAGGGTATATTTACACTAGCGAATTGGTGGATTTTTGTGTACACTAGCGTCTTTTTTTCATATCATTATTAGTTTTTACCATTCTCATAGACCTATAGAGTTTTAGTATAACAAAATTAGATATTTGAAATACTTTTTAGCTTAAGCATATGTCAACCTTTTTATACCGTGACTATAAAGCCGGGTACGGAATTTTGACAAATTGGATAAATGTTTATGGTGAGAAAAACCACTTTGATGTCCATAATATCTTTCATCGGCTTTCAAAGGGTTAAAACACATGTTTAACTAAACAGTGCCTAACTATATCTTTTGGGGTAATACAGTTAAGGTTTATGAAGTAAACACGATTAGTACAGTCCTGCACAATATCATAATTACATTAAAGTTTCAAAGTAGAATTCCACTGCGTGATTTTCAAGAGTGAAAGAGAAGACAATAAATATTATGACAAGCAGCAAGACTTTAGTTTTAACATTTCATCTCAAACATACTTTAAAAGTATGTTGATAGAGTGTACTTTCAATAGCAAAATTCGAAGTACAGTGCAGCACACAACTTTTGTATTTGCAATTCCTTCCATTCGCATACATTTTTATGTGTCTCTGAAAGTGTTCTGAAAAGTTGACTTTTATACTTCGCTACATTATTTTATTTGTCGTAAATATAAGTGTAAAAGGATATGGGGTTATAAAAATGCTTTATACATATTGAGAAGGTGACTTCGGTCCGAGTCATATATCCAATTTGGTGTAAGAGATACATTTTCATACGTCAAATATAATTGAATGGGTATATTTTATTGATTCAAATTTTATTGCAGTTATCCGATGACATCTTTTTTTATTTTGTATTAGAGGGGACATTTATTATATTGTTACTAGCTATCGCCCGCGACTCCAGTCGTTTGAAATTAAAAAAAAAATTAATTAGTAGCCTATGTGTTCTTCCAGACTATGTTATACTATATTACAGATGCTTAGAAAATAAAAAAAAATAGTTTAGTAATTTCGGAGTTTATCGCGAACATAGATCGTGACACGAAGTTTTAAAGATTTAATTTTTAAAACTTAACAAAGACGTGATTTATTTAAGGCTTTAAAATAATTGCAAGTAATAAAATTTCATATAATGTCGATAAAAATAACCTATACTCCGGTACAATAATACCAAACTAAAACGTTTCTTTTCAATTCCAAGACTTATTCTTTCATTCATTCTACTTTCACGATTGCCCATACAAGAAACAAGAGAAGCGTGAATAACAAAACTTCTCTTGTTTCATCACTGATATTTTTTTTTATACTGGCCACGAGAGTATTCATCTGCAGCCAGGCATTAATATTCGTGATTCCTGGTTTAAAATTGCACAGAGTATCCAAAACTTGCTGTAGACTCTAAATAGATATACGTCCACAGAGTATTAAAAGTTATTTTATGAATTGTAAGCCGAGTTTATAATAGTTATACTGTCTATAGATTTAACTACAGTTCACAGTATTTTTATACTCACTAAGGAAGAATCTCACAGGGAAAATCTTCACTAAGTGGACTCTGTTAACACTTAATATGCGATTTTAGTGTACTTTACGCGAAGACGATACACTCGTCACAAAATATTCAAGCTAGGCACATAGAATATTGACATTAGTTGTTTTAATTACGATAGATATTGTTAAAAATTAAACTTGTTTTTTTTTAACTTGTAACGTAATATTTACTCAACCAGTAAAATATTGGTTACATCTGTTTAATGTCGTATCAAGCCCTAAACTAAAACGTGGCAATGTTGTAACACAGAGCAGATCCCTTCGGCCCTCAAATGTCACCATTAATTGAATATCTTGTTGTGTTTAAATCTCTGTTTGTTTGAAATCTTACGTAACGTGAATGGTTTTACAAATTTCAACAATTATATGCATCACTTGTACTAAGAAATATGCGAATTCTGGGAGAAAAATTTAGTTTTATTAACAATAAATTAAAACGGAGAACGTTATGATAGACTAAATAAATACTCTGGTAATAAATATAAGACTAATCATTTTTTTACTTTTTCAGATTGAACTCGGGAGATGCAACATCCGATTCTGCGCTAAAGCGAAGCTTTAACAATGGCAGTGAACAGTCCAGGCGGCTACCCGCCATTGTCCCCGAAACCCCTAACACCTAAGAGTCCCCGCCACTTTATATTTCCTCAAAAGAGCCCTTCCATCACCTCCAGCACTTCCTCCTCAGGATACTTCACTCCGCAATCTGGTTGCAGCTATGACAAACATAACCCCCCTCCCAAATCTCCCATCGCTCACGGCCACAGAAGTCCCATGAGTCCGAGACACTTCAACTTCCCTCAAAAGTCACCATCGGGCCGCTCGAGTCCCTGCAACTTTGATAGAATACCTCACGGTCTACACTACACCACCTCTCTCAAACATGTCCGCCGAGAGAAGTCCAGATCTCCAAAGCCACCGCCTGTACACATCCATACAAACCCCGGCTATGTATCTCCTAATAGAGGCAGAAAACTGTACGGCTCGACTTCCACAGTGAGCTCTCCTCGACTGGTCACATCTCCGAGTATTGTATCCAGTCATACTGATGACTCCACAGACGCAATGCCTGGTACTCCATCCGCGATAGTACATGACGCGGATGACGAAGCAACCACCACTTCATCAAGGATCTGCCGTAAATCCACTTCTGATCTCACCGATTTAACGGACGATACGCCGTGCACACGGTCGACCAGTATAAGTAGACCTTGCTCGCCAATGCGCCGGGGCTCCATGAAAGGTGGTCTCGCTTATCTGGCCAGTAGACGAGGATCGAGGGAATCCACAATGTCAAATTGTGATTCTGTGGAGGACATTGGACCTTTGAACTTCCAGAATACGATGCGCGGACGTCAGAGACGGACCTCAAACTTCTTGGAATTACCAGGTTAGTAAACTTTACTTATTAATCAAAATATTAATACTAGCAATATTAAAAAAAAATCTTCAAAGGCAGTCGAAAATATTACATCCTAAGTATCGTGAATTTACATTTTCTGCTCAATTTCATAAAAAATTCAGACAAAAAGCGTGTTGGTTATTGCATTATTTGTGCCGCGGCGGTCGGTTATTAGGTTTTGGAATGTAAATACACTTCTTACTGTCAGCCTGCGTAATCCTAATACCACAAGCTACAAAAGAGAGCTTTGTTTTCTTACAATTTTTAACATGTTTTCATTTCGTTTTAAGACAGTTTTAAATAGAGTAAACAGTTTTTCTGAATACACTTATTTTCAAAGGTAAATAATTGCACTCAGTATCTAATAGTCTTTTTAAACTACGCTTAGTGTACATTTCTTCTTCATCATTAATATTGACCACTCAGAGTCTCTGAGTGCGTTGGTAATTGTATTGTGTATTTAATTTCGCAAATAGCGAAACAAATAGCACATCGGGCATTTTTACTAAACGTTGGCATAAAAAAATAGAATCGTAACTTAGAAAAAAAAATACATTATTTTTCTATTTTCTTTTATTCACTTCACAAACTGAATACGCTGTAGTTTCGAGAACATTCTAAAAAGTAGATATAAAATGTGACTCTGACGTCTAGTATGAACAAGATGACAAAACAAAAATAAAATGAAACATAAAAGGAATATAAATACATACTCATATTCAGCATAAATGTATTTTTTGCTTATATTATAAGGTGGCAAACGAGCGAGCGGCCACCTGAAATCACTGAAATACCGAAGTGACCGTTGCCCATAGACATACGCAATTGCATATGCGTTGCTTACCTTTAATCGACGGAGGAGAGGATGCACAGAAAGAAAAATATTTTGCCGCCTTGCAGACAGACATACAGAACGAAAATTTTAGAAATTTGTCTTTCTTTATCACCTACGCAAATATATCGTGTGTAAGAAATATATTTTTTATACAAACAGACACTTCAATTTTATTCATATGCATAGATAAAAGTATTACGGCAATGGAATTGTACGGTTATATTATTGTTACATGTAGTGGTGGAGCACGCTCGGCCGCGCGTTTGCTCGCTACCAGAGAAGCCGTACAACCCGCGTCTGTCAGACGACTTGTACCGCCTGCGAACCTTTTCCATCACCACTAAAGGCGGTGTCGTCAACTGCGGTGACTCCATCTGCAACCGCCGCAGTCGCTCTAATACATCCGTCAACTCAACAAATAGCAGGTGCGTGATATACAAGTACAGTAACATACAAACTTTATTGAGGCTCATACAAGACATAAAAGACGATTGCTCTCAGACAAGTCATGCGCTCGTAGCTGACATAATATGTGATTCTTATTATACTACTACATAACATTAAATGATATTTCAGACTACTTATAAAAGATACCTTTGCAGGGCTTCTGACAGATCACCGTTTGATGGGTCGTGCTGCTCCGGCTACCGGCCCGTAGACTCCGGCAGCTTGACCACCCCTGACGAGGACGATCTCGATCCGGTAATGTACAAAACAAAAAGGCTAATTTCTATGCTGCTACAAAACCATCATAATCATATTATTTTATTAAGTATTTTTATATAAACACAGAGTCAGAAGTATCCTATAATACGCAATATAGAGGACGCGTGATATCTGTTATAGGCACAAATTTATAAATGGATAAGCGATTGCTTGGAAATGATAACTTTTGCTTCGTTCTGATTTTAACCTTTGCCTTTTGATGTTACGTCACAGTTAATTCTATCAATATTATTAGTTCCAAATCCACACCAGCACCAAAATGGTGTAATTCAAACAGGCACAAACTACCACAACTAATAGCCAGTCCATTTATCAGTGGCTGTAGAATTTATAAAACCCTTTATGCAGATACCGAAGTACCGCGTTGTGTTGCTGGGCGACGCCGGCGTGGGCAAGACGGCGCTAGTGTCGCAGTTCATGACCTCAGAGTATATGAACACCTACGACGCCAGTTTGGGTAAGTAGAGGCTTTGTTTATTCGTATAAAGATAATATCTTCAATTAAAAAACACTCCATAGTTGAATAATACGTTTACACATTCCCGGCGCGGCAGCTGTTTAAGGTGCATTTCCACTAACAAAAAATATAAGAATCAAGGGTGTACCTAGCTAACATTGTGGTATCTAGTACCAAAAAATTGTATTATTTTGTACCTCGGTTTAAAAAAAATTGTACCTTCTTCAGAACGAAATTATAACGAAATTAAGATATACCCATACGACAACGTACTTTAATACGAAAGAACAGTATAGAGTCTATCATTTTTTGGTTAAGGTTATAAGTAATACAAAATACATCACCGAACTTAACTTTTAAATATCCCTTAACTTAAGAAACTTAAACAAAGCTTTAATAAGGTCTAATAAATTATTTAAAGTAACAAATGAATAAGCTTCGTATTTCATTGAAACTCCAGACGCTAGAGTCAGAGTGTTACCTCATTAGCTATCAAAGCGGATGCTATGTAAACCAACACTAATCGTTTTACACCACACACACATAGGCATAAAATTCTCTATATATGTGTTAAAAAACAACACACTTTTCACACTATCTTCATTTAAACCGTAATACATTTTATAAAGAAAAAAAATTAGGCAAAATTTTCATATACAGCGTGTCCCAAAATTCAAAGCTAAAAGAAAATAAATTATTTTTTGTATTTAAAATACGAATGTTTTGGTCCGATTTTTAAATGCAATTAATATCAGGAATATGTTCATATTTGAAGCAACAGTGACTAATCATATGGTATCAAATTATAAGAAAAGTTGCAAAACTTAATATAAGTTTAAAACAAAAAGAGTTGTTTTTTTTATTATTTTTCCCCATGTAGTTATCGATCAGGCTATACACCTTTACCGTTTTATCATTGAGTTTTGGGACACGCTGTATATGTATGTACATAATCGAAATTGTAGGCTCTCCATGATCGATAGAAAAATGTCTGGGGCGCCGACCCTGGTGCGTAGACTTTTAGTTTCTTGTGATTTTATTTAATAAAACGCTGTCTTAAGTACTAACGTCTTTAACTGTCCATAGAGATATGACATCTGTTTATCTATATATTTAAAAGAAAGACGTGTTAGTTACACTATTTATAACTCAAGAACGGCTTTACCGATATGTCTGAAAATTGGTGAGGAGGTAGCTTAGAGCCAGAAGACATAGGATACTATTTATTCTTTTTTTTTCGAATTTATGCCTTGAAGAGCTGCTTTTTATTTAAATTACTAATATTATAAATGCGAATGTTTAGCTAGATGTGATGTGGATGGATGGATAGGTGTTTGAAGATATCTCTAGAACGGCTGAACGGATCTCGATTAAATTTGGCATACGTACAGATAATATAATATAATTTGGCATAGTCTGAAAGAACACATAGGCTACACTAATTAAGTTTTTTATATATCCACGCGGACAGAGTCGCGGGCGACAGCTAGTATTTGCTAAAAAATAAATACAATTAAAATTATAAGAGACGCTTCTAAATATAACTCTATAAAAACCTTAAATCATATAATTCTCTAGAAACAGTTAAAAAAAACATTGAATTTGTTTTGACAGAGTTAAGCTATTTCTTGTCTAAATAAAATAGATGTTGTTTTAATCTCGGCAGTTCTCTTCTCTTGACATTTCTTTGATATTGTTTGCGAATACTTTAGCAATATTGAGAATAAAAATATTTATTAATTCCTTGACGCTTGAACAAAGATAACTATCTTTTTAATAAACGTCAATAGTAATGGTTAAGTGTACGGATTTCAGATCACGAGGTCGAGGGTTTGGCCGGCATTCGACTATCGTAAACGTAAAATATTAGTAAATTTACAAAAAAAATCTGTTAATACTTAAATAAATATATATGTAAGTTAAACTTTTAAAATTTTTCCTATTATGTTTGAAATAAATACTTAAATAATATTATTTAAACAATATTATATACTTAAAATATAATATGATTTGCAATCAAAATTAATTACTTTCATCTTACAAACATCTTCAGTATGTATTAATTCGGTCAAGTATCAAACAAGAGGATTCATCGCTTTTATTAATATTATAAGTATACTTCGTAATTAATTAGGAGTTATTACTTGTGATGAAACATGTTTCCAAACTAAATTAAAAGCACAAAGATAAGTATAAGATTGAAAAGACATTTATAACTTAAGTCAAGAGACACTCTAATTCAAATCTATTATAAAAGACTACATTAAATGCACACAAAGGAATGTCGTTGTAATCTAAACAGTTTAGTTATCTCATTGAAGAATCTAAAATATCATCGATAACTCACGTGTTAAGCACTTGCCTTCAATCTGCAGGTCTTGGGTTCGAATCCCATGTGCCAATGTGTTTTTTTTATTTACATATGTACGTACTAACGTTCTTACGGTGAAGGATAACATCGTGATGCTGCACATAACTGCAAAGAAGTTCAAAGATATGTGAAGTTAATCCGTACTTGGCCAGCGTGGTTGACTATGGCCTAGTCACCCCTAACTTAGTGCAGGCTCCGAGCTCCTCAGTGAGGACGTATAGTTGATGATGAAGAAGATGAAGATAGAGCAGATTACAATAAATTTTTGCTGTTTCACTTGTAGACTTTACAGACTCTATTTAAGATTAATTTTTATATATTGAATTATTTAGTACATAGTTGATTTTCTGATTGGCTTGTGCATGTATTTCTCAAAGCTTGTTTGCATATAACGGTTTGGTATTGTATGGCTGCTGGAGCTATCTTTTGTAAATAACGATACTTCTTTTTACTTGCTATCGTCTGGTGCAGCTAAACGAGGTAAGATTTCTTCACATTTCTTTGATGTACACACGTTTGTAGTTGTCAAATATCTTCACGGCTTGATACTCCAAGTGTACGCTGTGCAGAATATTATTTTTGTTATAATTGTGCGGATTGGGGAGGAAGGCATTCGAGCCGCCGAGATTATTGAATAGATGTATTAACAGCATTTGTTTTTGTGTTTATCCAAATGTTTCCTTTGCCTATAGTTCAGATATTTCATAGGATTTACTGTCGTCACTTCCTTTGTTATGTTTTTTTTTTTTTGTTAGAACTTTTTCTAATATTTCACTTTATCTGTGTTTAATTGTTTTTTTTTTGTTCCGTTAGTGATTTTTTTTTAGCGCGGATTACAAGACTCCTTTTATCAGCTGTATTATTATAGACAAAATAAATCAAACACAACAGCTATACTTAACATAATTTACTCAAATTTCACACCTTTTTATAATACACAATAATTCAATATTTTAATTTAAATTCAGTCTTCGCGTATTGCATGGTCTATCGCTTTAAAATGCATTTTATGATGATTGTTTTTGAATGTCTTTAATTTTAAATATTTTTTCAGCAACGCATACAATTATGTAACCTACACCTATATCTCCACTGATGACTGTTTAATACCTTTTGCATGGATATAAAAAACACAATAATATATCTTTGTTTTTTTTATATAGGAGAAGGGGGCAAACGAGCAACGAATCGCCTAAGATTATTTGATCCGGTTTAGTTAGCTACTATTTGTAGTAAATGTAAGATGTATATTTAAAAATGGGTTTGCAAATGTATTATAGGAAAGTGAAGAATTAAATTAAATACAATAAAAATAAGTTAATGTATAATACATCCTTTACAAAAAAAGCTAAACACTCACGCATATTCGTCCGGTGCCGCCACTGACTAGTATCGAGCCCATCGGAGGCCCTTTATTAGGGTGAATGGGACTGCTATTATTTCGCAGACGCGACCCGTCGCTCAAGAATAAGCGACTGGTCGCAGGCCGAAAATGTTTTATCAAATCAAAGAGTTACTAGTATAACATAAAAAATAACTAAATTGTCATGAATGTGCAAGAAAGATATTGTTACAGACGACGAGTTTGGTGAGAAATCTGTGTCGGTGCTGCTCGATGGTGAAGAGTCGGAGCTCATTTTTATCGATCATCCCAGCACCGAGATGTCGGTAAGATAACATTGACCACTCAAACATAACCTACGATAAATCAAGCAATTTATAGTATTAAGAAGAAGAATCTACATATAATGCTCCAAAAGTCCTCTACATTTTACCTTCTCTATTCATCTAGAAGTGAAAGGCATAAATCACAAATTTACAATTTCAATGTTGAAATAATCAAAAATAAAACCTTATTATAATTCAATGCACAACAGATAGAGAACTGCTTATCAACATACGAGCCGCACGCATGCGTGGTTGTCTACTCCGTGGTGGCAAGGAGCTCGTTCACGAGGGCGGCAGAGCTGCTGCAGTACTTGGCCAGGGAACAGTTCACTGTCGATAGAACTGTTGTCCTGGTGGGCAATAAAGCGGATCTGGCACGAGCGAGACAAGTCACTACCAATGGTAAGCAACGATATGACAAAGGTTACAGTAAAAAAAACGAATGGCATGTTTTTGGCTAACCATTAAAATCTAGTAAAGCTTTTATACACACTTAATTGAAGAGATGGCTAAAAAAGCAACATGTCTGATGCCCATAGAGGTCTGCAAAAAGCTAAAGAATGTTTAACCTAAATAAATATAAGTTTTATTCGTGGAATTGGGACCTCGTAATTATTATGTTTACTGGCTTGCAAATCTTTCTTCCTTAGATCACCTGATCTTATAATTCGAAACACAATTAAAAATGCGATCTATTTTATATTAGAGGGTAAAGCACTGGCAACAACAAAAGATTGCAAGTTCATAGAAACATCATCCGGCATTCAGCACAACGTTGATGAGTTGCTCGTCGGGATTCTAAAGCAAATAAGACTTAAAGAGAACAGAGATAAAAAGCAAGCCAAGAAAATCAGCAAGCAGGTAAGGAGTTTCAAATCTAGATTTTTTTTTAATTACTAATCTAGAATATCAGCTATTTTAAATCTGGTAATGAATGTACTATAAATATAACCAAATTCATTTGAATGTAGGACCCAAAACTAGGAATTATATTAATAAAAGCATCGTAAAAAATATAAAGATTTATAGTTACTTTAATGTCTGTTTTTCTTTCTTAGGAATCAAAGTCTGCGAAAATGGCAAGTTCCCGAACTCACATATCTTTAAACATTGCGAGAGAATTGCTACAGAAAATTTGCATCAACGATATCTCCAAATCAAAATCCTGCGAGAATTTGCACGTCCTTTAACCGATAGTGCGTATTCGATTGATAAATAAACGGCTACAAAGAGTCATGTTTTGCGAAACAACTTTATAAGCAAAGAATTCCAAAAATTTTAAGGTTTTTTTTTATTTTATGTTACCCGACTGACTTAAGAGATTTTACGTGTGTATTTTTGTATGCGGGTTTGATTATCATTACGTTTCATTGTTACCGGCTGTACCTTAAACTACTGATCCGATTTTGACGAGTGAGATATCATTCGATTCGTATTCTTCCCCTGAGTGTCATAGATAACATTACAATGCCTGAAAACTCAAAGTGGACGCGGTCTATAAGAAAATGAATTCTTCTTCTTCTACTGCCTCTTCAGTCTTGAAGGTTTGGCCGCTAACTTGGAATATTTGGTTCCGTCAAGCGCAAGGCGAAACAGTTCCTCTGCTGACCTAATCCCAGTCCACTCCCTAATATTACGTAGCCACGACTTTTTCCTACGTCCAGCGCGTCTCTTGCCTTCAATCTTGTCCATCATTATCAGCTGAAGTAACTTATACCTGTCATGCCGCAGCACATGACCCAAGTATTCCACTTTACGCTTTTTGACGGTCTGCATGAATTTTCGGCTCATAGCGACGCGCTGGAGTACCGTCTCGTTTCTAACTTTCTGCGTCCAGCTAATCCGGAGCATACGATGATAACACCACATTTCGAAAAATGAAAATTAATTATAAAACAAATTCAGTCGGGTTTTTTACTATATTTGTTATTCCAGTCTGTTTAATTATTTGTAAAGTTTATCAACGTTATTTATCAACAAATTGCAAGTTAAATTAATAGATTCTAAGATTGGAAAGTAAATACAAATTCCAATTTGCCCGTAAAATTGTTATACCACATGTTATTAAGTGGACCTTTATTGACTTACAAGACGCTCGAGTAGAGCCGTCCTCTTTATTGCTTATTGATTTAAATTTTAGGGCCTCGTAACAAACAAGTTGTTTTACACAATGCTTTTATTGTTACTCTGCCCTTGTGTATATTCAGTACTACTTAGTTCTTTTCTATCAAGACATTTCTTCTTTAATTGTTGGTTTATGAGACCAAAATCTGTGTATAAAACATAGCTTCATCTCAATCATTATCTTGGACAAAATAGCCTGTTTCGTACAGCTGTGTTGTAGAGTGCTTTGTCCTCGACGCTTTACCAAACCAATACGACTTTAAAAAGAGTGCGTACCATCTACTTAAATCTGCAGTTGCTTTCGTATTGGCATTGATCACCTTGGTAGTCCAGTCGCTCGTTGTTTCATGTTTTAAACGAGGATTTTTGTCTCAGAAACCCAATTCGTCTTAAAGTAAACGTAAAGAAAGAGTCTTTTCTATTTTATTATAGATTGTGTATACTAATATTAACTTAAGATTTAAAATTATAACCTAAAATTGTTGTTTTTTATTCTGGTTGTGTAAATTCTTCCTTCTCTGTGTAATGTATTCGAATTACTATGCCTTTGTAGAGATATATTAAGAGTTAATTAGGTTAAGCGTAGATTCCCACCTGGATTTCTTATAAAATACTTTCGCTACAAAATTAAGATAAGTATTAGTACATTGATCATTTTCCTTAATCTAAGGGACGCCTCCCCTTTTAATAATATTTTCGTGTTAAAACCATAAATAAAAATTTCCCATACTTTTTTTCTCGTAGAACATTTCCTATATTTACAAACTCCTTGCTTAATTCTTCTATTTGTTTCACATCATCCTATATAGGAACTCAGCTTGGTCTTCTGTAGACTGCCTGGATATTTAAGGAATCACTAATTAGAAGCCGCTATGTAAATAATTCTTAATGTTAATTAACACCGTTGTTAAACATTATTTGATCCTAAACGAACAATGATCTTGTACATAAAAGTTATAGTGAATCATAAATGGGTTGACAATTAAAGCTCTTAACTTCAGCAATAAATACTTCTATTACTGCTTGTGTGTGTAACGCTCGGTTTCCATTGTAGAAACACATATAAAGAACATATTGTTATCTCTTTCTATTTCAAATTAAATTATGGATAACTATATGTTTTCGTATTCGGTAGTGATTACCAACATTATAAAATATATTATATCGATTTAAAAAACATATTTTTCCACTAGAATTTAGAATTAATGTAATTATAATACTTCGTAGTTAATATTTCTAATATTTTAATTAATGTTTTGAATAATTAACTTTAATTAATGATGAAATTATAAATCTAATTAATGCTAATTAAAATAACAAAAGGTGATCGTTTATTACGTATACAAAAAAAAAGAAAACATTGATAAAGATCTCAAAGAACATTTTTTCTAAACATATTGATTCTAATATATTTAACCCGAACGAGATAATCCCAACAAAATCTGTTGTGACGTAACGAATAAAAGTTTTTAATAAAAATGATGAGGGTCAAAGTTTTCGGCCAAATGTAATTGGAAGATATTCGAAAAAACACATACGAGGACTTTTGTTTGTTCCGAAGTTATACGGAAGTATACGAAGTTGAAAGAGTAACATATGCTCTGAAATCTGACCTTTTCACTTTGAAAGGATGATTTTATTAGCGTTTGTTTTTTTAAATTGTGAAAATGACATCTTAAAAATATATTAAGGTTCAAAATGATAAATATCGATATTCTTTCGTTTCATATATTCGTAATATTTTATTAATTATGTTCTGTCTTATTTATAGTTCTAAAAAACACCCTGTAGATTTTTAGTCTGGATATTCTGATATTAAAAGATCCAAACTTTATGATCGCGCACTAACAGCAAGGCACGTACGCCCACTGTTGGTTTTATCAAGCGTATCAGCACGCGTCTCCATCTATATTCTGTCGATAAAATAGTGTGCGCAGAATCTCGTGCAAAATTGCGAGCTGCTATAAAGTTTGAATATTACTGTACTAAACCCTTTAATACGATGTAATTTTACAATTAAATATTAAAGTTAATTATTTGAATCACTGTTTATGATATAAAATTGTTAGTTATAATAAATGTTAGTTTAATAATATTTATATAAGTAGTCATACTATCTATATATAAACTTTCTACGTGTTATAAATATCACTATATTTTTCTATATAATCTAAAAGACTTTAAATTTTGTAAGTTAATCACTTTTATTAGAAGTTTTCTTAATTAACTTTTTTTCGCAGAAAATAAATCTATACAATTTCATACATCACTAGATTCTCGTGATGAAAAGATTTTTTTTTGGGAAATGCCTAACGCTTACTCATATCTGGGGAAGACAGTAGTTATGGACAGATTTACACTTTCGTTTTTACTATAATATTAGTAAAAAACGGGATTCTCACCACTGAAATATCGGGAGCTCAAACAACTCAATCCTGGTAAGAATTCCGGCTCTTACGAATGTTATTAAAGTTATGAACAGGACGTAAACTATAATTAACTATAACTGTTGTTAAGTTATTAAGTACTGGCAACTCCTATGGGAATGAAAAAGTACCTTATATTTCCTGTAATATTTATGAAGGTAAACGCCTTTTGTTTTCTCAATAGTAAAAGCTAATTATAAATTTAATTGGACTCTCTTTTGTTTTTAATTAAATTATGTAAATTAGTTTTGTCTTGTATTATCGGAAATAATTTCTTATGTATTTAGGATATTCTTTAATCGTACGGCTTATTAATTAAATATAAATTTACTAAATTTATAAAAAAAGTCTTATTTACAACATTGCTATTATTATATTTCAGGTACAAACATAATTTTTCTCTAGTCCTTATTTTCTAAGTTTTTTTTTTAATTCAGTCTTAGACTAAGCGTTTGTACAAAACCCTTATTACCCTGAAAGGGAAATTGAGCTTTAACATATTATAGTATTACAATTGTCTTTCTAACTGTGGGTTTCTGAAACTAAAATCTCTATATAAAACACATCGTCATCCATGACAAGAGATAACAATATGTTTTAAACGGGATTTCGGTTTCGGAAACCTACTGTTAGACCTCTAAACTTTCTAATTGAGTATTTTGTTTAACATAACTATATTATACAATGAAAATCAGTTTTAAACAATATAATCTAAAATACATATGGCCTATAAACGTTACTATTTTAGTAATTAATAAAATTCATCAAAAAACTAAATATGATAAATATATTTCAGTTTTTATATCAAAATAATAAAGATTAATTACAATATAATCGAACCTCTATAAGCGAGAGTTATCGTTCGGTCACAATGTACGACCTCTATAAGTTAGAAACTCGAGTAAGAGAGAAACCTAAGTAAAGAAAATATCGCGGACCTTTGGACTATCGCTTACCCTAATACGACTGTATATCTTTTGAAGTATAAAACTAAATTATTAGAAGCAACTTAAGAACTTTATAGACAGGATAAAATGGCCTATACTGACTGATTTCGTTCATTACTTCTTTCCTGAAGCGTTGCCACATTATGAAAGCGAAACGCAAGCGAAGCGAAGACAAATATGAACCTGTCATTAATTTGGTTCGTTCCGAAAAGCCTTAGAGAGCAAAAATCTAACGCGTAGAAAACTCTGCGTTCTTTTTTCAATTTGTTTTCATATGATAGCTTTTGTTTCGCTTTCATGACTGTGTGCTAGGTGCGAACTATACAGAAACAGCGTACAGTGAAGACAAATTGCATTCGATTCTATAAGGAACTTCAAAAATGTATAGAACTGGCATCAACTTTTAGTATCATGTATCCGTGGCACGGCGATTCAGTATGATTCATATCACCTATCTACATTTTGGGTTGACACGTTTTGAAGCGACAAGCCTGCGCCGCGCCTTCACTTTACGCCGTTTCTGTATTCGTGTCTGAGATGGATCAAATTAAATATACTTCTAGTTTTATTAGTTTTCAAGTTCTTTAAAATATTCAGTGATAGCGTTTATGTAATGAAAGTTATTTTAAAGTGTTATACTTTCAGAATACTATATACTATTATATATAAACTGTTTCTAAAGGAATCCTAAAACTGAGCCTTCTTTAGAATTAAGTAGTTTTAACTTAAGAATCTGTATACTTATGTTTCTATGTTTGAAAATA